GCAGTATGTACAATGAGGCTCAGAGATTAATGAACTTGTCCATTATTAACTTAATAATTAACTTGCAAGTAAAAGAGCTGGGATTAGAGTCCATCAATCTGGTGCCAGAATATGTGATCTTAAGCACTATACTACTCCACAATAAAAAACAATTTGGTGGGTGTAATTATATTCACAGATATTTAAAATAAATTGTGACAAAAAGTAACATGAAAAGTGACTTTCTCAATTTGAATATTCATGCTGAAGGGTCAGAAAGTTCCTGAAGGAGCATAAGGAATTTTTTTCTTTTGACATTGAACAAATTTAAGTAATTAATTCCAATGTCCAATGGCTTTTTTTTTTTTCATCCTGAAATAATTCCAAATGGTCATTTACCAAATATTCTGAATAGGTACATTCTGAGTAGTTGGGGTAGGTCAGGCCGTGAAATAAATTTACATAAAATAATTGATTAATACAACTTCAGAGAAAAGAATTATACCAATGAACAAGTACCTTAAAATTTTATGTTCATAACCTAAAATAGCAATAAAAAAGTAAAAACTTTAGATCTATCACTTTTAACCTGAATCCAGAGATTAAAAAAGCTGTTATTGAATCCAACTCTCTTTACTTGATGGGAAAGAAGACCCTGAAAGAGGAAACCGAACTGTGTAGGAAAGAACAGAATTGGAAAGTTGTTCTCTGTGGATTTCTCAGGGATAATAAGAGACAACCTACCTTGCTGGGCTACACTCACCTGCAAGGGTTTCATGAGCAACCCTAGATCTGGCGAACTTGACCAGACAACTCTGAACAGAGAAAAGCATAAGGGGGGACACACACAAGAACCTGAGGGCTACTGGGTCTTCCGGTCTCCTGGTCACAGTTTTGGGTCCTTATGAACATTCTGAATGGCCAGCATACCTGGGATGTCTTGAAAAGCTTGGAATTTGCAGTAGATAAAAACCTTCATGCATCAGTCAGTCACACAGGCCCTGTTCCTGCCCAGTAAAAACTGCTACACTGAGAATTATGGGATGTAATCAAAACAGTCCCTTACTCAAGGGGGCTGACCAGATCTGTGTCAGCAACCTTCCATGAGCAAATGAAATAAGGCATGTTGTTTATTCTGACCTTTCCAGTAGATTCAGATAAACCTGACAAAGGTGAATAAATACCAAATCAGTTAAAGAAACATACTGCAAGGCAGGAAACGGTTACACTCATGATTCATAGTATTTGTCATGAAAATCTTTTTTAAAAATCTAGAATCTCTCTTCTTTTGTGAATTAAAAACAACAAAATCAATTTTTGCTTTATCAAGAATTTTTGTCACAAAAAAGTAATCTTCTTATGCTTTGATATGTGCATCATTCAGAATACCACATTTTTATTTTACCATTGACTTAAAATAATTTTCCTCATTAGAAATGTGTGTGATTCTTTAAAAAAACAATAAAGAATATGTTGCTCATATATTTAACATTTGACAAACTGTCAAAGTTGATGATGAAAGTTATTACTATCATGAACTATATATATAAATACACATATATATATTTTTAAAGCGGGCTCCATGCTGGGGGTGGTTGGGGCTTGAACTCACGACCCTGAGATCAATACTTGAGCTGAGATCAAGAGTTGGACACATAACATAACCCACTGAGCCACCCAGGTGCCCCTCATGAACTATATTCTATCTCAAATTTCATAAAATAATGCTTGCAATGTACAAAAAACCCCACAAAAATTAAAAAAATAAAGAGCCCCAGGATCATGAAAATCCCTATAAGAAGACCATTATTTTAGAGACAATATGATATTTTAGAGCATAGAGATACAATCCTGAGTCTTTGTTAACAATTTAGCTTCGTCTGACCAATGAACACTTCTGATTCAGATTGCTGTCCAATGATAGTAGTCTTTGACTTTCAGTTAATATTAGCAATGTATTTCCTTTGCATCATGGTAATGACTACACACTGAAAGGCCCACTCCCCAAAAATGGATCCCATAGTATACAAAAATCTTTAAACAAATATACACTGAAAATCTGGGACTAAAAAGTGTTCTTCCTAAAACATATAAGGAGAGGAATGAATTGAATCTCTTCCATAGTACTACTTCTGGTAGTGTCTGACCCTTTCTTAGCTGTTTAGATATTTCTTTTTGCTTCTTAAAAACAAAAACAAATAAAATGTACTCTTTCTCTGTAACAGGCTTTCGTCAGCATATTAAAAAAATATCTCCTGTTCTGATAACTGAAATTATATGCTTATATTCTTAAAAATAAGGCAGGAAAGAGTTAACATGAATATTTCTACTCAATCCCCAAACCTCCAGGGGGAAAATATGTTTTTGAACCTTAAATTATAGGGATGAAAAGTACAAGGGTCCCACCAATTGTGAAGTTCAGTGAGGAATAAAGCATTGTAATCTCAGCTGTCAGCATAAAATCATTTCTCAGAAGCTTCGTTCCAACTATAATAACTTGGTGTGCTTGCTAGAAAAAAAATTTATGATCATATGAGCTTCATGCATGATTGATACCATTACTGTTTATTTTAAGACTGTCCTTGAGAATCAAATAAGCATTCCCTGTGTATGTTTTGCAATCAAGAATGAAGAACACAATATAAGTGCTTTTCTGGAGAATATGTGATGGACTATTCTTTCCATTAGAGCTTCCTACCAAAAAGAAATACCTAATAAAGGTGAATCAGGCAGAAATTCATGTCAGGTGTTCTTTATAGTATGTTGAATTAACAAGCAGCTACTCTTATGATTGAAAAAAGAAAAACAGAGGTTATCATTACACATAAGGAAGTATATAAACCCAACTAAGGATATGCTCAAGTGCTTAAAAAACTAATTGGAAATAATACAAACTATGAAGCATAATCTAATCTAAGTCATTAGGAAATCTCCGTTGTACCAAAAGAGATTTTTAAGGTCTCAGATTGCACGAGCCTCTTATCATTCATAATTACATGTTTGCATTGTATAATAAATATGGATGACATAACTTAAATACTCTAAAAAATAACTCTTTCCATGAACCATTTTTTTTCACATTCATATTGAAGAAGGGATCATGTATATTTGAAATGAAATCTCTTTTTTAGTAAAATCAACTTTTCTTGCATAATAATATGATTGAACTGAGGGATTCAAACTATAAAGAAATACGGTAAAATTTATGTCTAGCCTCAAAAAGAAAACTTAATAATCATCCAAACACTGATGCCATCCCAACAATCTCTGAAAGCAAATCTAAGACTTTCCCAAAGCAAGAAGCCATCAATCCAGACTCTCCCTTCTAACTTCATAGTGAGCAAAATAAAACCAAGCACTCACTTTTACCCACCTTCCCCATGCCTCACCTTACCACCATCACTACTACCACCAAACTGAAGCAATAGGCCCTTCGGCTTACAACGTAAATAACAGCTTGCCATTTTCATTCCTTCAGTCCATGAACTAGTTACTCCTTCATTTCAACATTAAATCATCTCTTGATTTCAGTGTTAGATAGAAAAAATCCATTGGTGGCATATAACTCTAAAAGTTCAAATTTGCAATCAAGAGAAGTCTGGACTTTCAGCCCGTTTGCATCTCTCTTTTTACTCAGAAAACCAAAGTTGTATTTTTCAAAAGGTTAAACGTTTTGGTTTTTGAAATGGGGTTTCTGTGTAATACAATCATACTTAACATCTGTAAACTTCTTTAACTCTTGATAATGGTTCTTACTTTTTCAAATACTTTGTTTCTCTACCAACCATCACTTATTACATGGAGTCCTAAGAACAGTTTATATAAACAGTTATATTCAGAATATGGCCTCACACATGGCATTTATTATGCACACTTTGTATATAAATCTGTTACGTGAAATATGTCCAAATGCTGTGCAACAGGTCCTGCTATTGTGTAAACACACTCTCAACAAAATGACAGTAAGCTTTAAAGGAATCAACAATATTTTAAAAATCACATTATTCTTCAGGGACTTAATTGTAATTCTTTTGAGACGTCAGAAGACGGAAGATCTCATCAAAAGTAGTATATTTTACTAAAACCCTCTTACTGTCTTTGTATTCCACTGTGTATGTTATAAACTGGAGTTAGAGCCCAGGTGTATACACACTTTCATTGATTTACTGCACATTACTGGCTTTAGTGCTGAGTTGATGACAGGAAGAGTACTTCGGCAGAGGTCTGACAAGTCCTTAACCTCAAGTTCCCTTCTGCTTTATGTCTGTCTGTTCCCAAAGCTGTCAAAGTAAAGCAAATGACAGACTAAAACCTCTCAGTTTTGCCCTGAGAGTGTGAAATCAAACTAAAAACACACCTCAGAACTATCACATTGGGCCACGTTTATTTTCAATTGGCGGGGGAGGGGAAGAGAAGACACTTTAAAAGAGATGGATTTCATGTCCTCTGTAGTCAGATCTAGTTACAGTGTATTAAGTTATGTCTAAATGAAAAAAAAAAGACTGTCTAGTCAAGTGTTTTATCACAAAGTAATGTTATTAAACATATGAAGTATTCCCACGCTCTCCTCTAGATTCTTTGATTTTAACCTCCTTTGTTAGGCACAGAACATGGGGAGAAAGATTTCAGGAACAATACCAAGGAAGCACATGATGCCAAGCAATGAATTCTGTATTTCCTGAACAGTTTATTCATCATAAACTCAAACTGCTTTTATTAAGCCACACGTTTGCTATATGTAGGACTTCTCCTCTTCCCTGGGTGACAAGCATGGACCAGCTACAAATGTATCTCCGAGCGCGCAGCATCGTGCTTTGTGCTGCTGGGGATAACGGATTCTCAGTCTCGCGCGCATCCATCACCTAAGACACAGGGAAACTCAACAAGGGTCTCGGCGGCTGCAAAGCAAACAATGTGTAGAGACGCAGGCTGCTCTGAGCTACCAGGATCCCAGGAGTGAACGCAATGTTTCAGGGAGCAGCCCAGGCAAGGGAGAAGGAAGAAAGCTCTCATACTCTTACCTCCACATTGAAATACTGCTCCGTTCCGCAGACGGTAGCACATAAAATCCAAAGCAGGGTTTGCAAGAAAAATACCCCCGAATGATGCACGAAATCCAACCGTCTTCCAGTGCTGAATGTGAGTAAGATCATAGTGAACTGTGCTTCAATGGATGGACGAGCTCCCCTTCGTTTTCTCCCTTTCTCCCTCTCCCTCCCTCCCTGGTTTCCTTTCAGAAAAAGTCCTCCGGGTGGGTAAGGAGCCTGCAGGTTCACCCACAGCCGGACAAGGGTAGGAGACTGAGGGCCCAGCACTCGGCAGCCCCCGAGAAACAGCGGCGGAGGTAGGGTCAGCAGCAGCCTGCATTCACCATCCTTGGGGGCCCGTCACCGGGAACGTGGCGCCCAAGTTCACCGGCGGTTCCGGCTCAAAGCGCCGAGTCGCAGCCGCAGCAGCAGCCGCCGCCGCCGCTGCCGCCGCCGCCTCCAGCCCGTGCGTCCTCCTCCTCCTTCTTCTCCTCCTCCTCCACCGCCCACTCCTCCGCCGCCGCTGCCACCTCCTGCTTCTGCTGGAAGGGCCTCCGCCGCTCCTCGCTTCTCGCCTCTGCTTCTTCTTCCCTCCTCTCCTCGCTCCCCTCCAGAATGTTCATCCGTAATCTACATAACTCCTCCTTCCCGGGGGTCTGCCTGGCTCTCGGGCCCTCAGCGCGCGCGCGCACACACACACACACACGCACACACATACACACCGGTGCGCGCGCGCGCGCACACACACACACACACACACATATCTGCACATGAGCACACACACAACTCCACACACAGACGCGCGCGCTCTTCTTAAAGGAGACGGCTTGTGAAGGGGAGACGCTACTGTACCGCGCACTGGAAGTAGCCAGACCTCCAGAGGGGCCCTGCATTGGGACGAGGTCCTTGACACACTGCCCACCCCCTCTTCCCCGAGACTGGAACCCAGCAACCTGGGCGGCTCCATTCTTTCATCTCGCCCACCCTCTCCCGAGCATCTAGAAACAAGTGCGCCCCTCCCCTGCCGGGGACTGGGTGGGGCTCAGGCAGCGGACCCTGGCTGGGGCTGGGGAGCGGCCCAGGCCTGGTCCCGGAGAGTGGCTGGCGTCCTCAATCAAGCGTCCCTGGAAGGTCGGGGGAGCGCTGGGAATCCGGGAGCACCGGAGTCACTGCGCGCTGTTCGGACGCTCGCGTCGGTTGCCAGGCTGGTCAAGTTTGGGAAGCCTGAGATGGCAAGTCCCGAGCGTCCAAAACTTTGTTGGGGTCCACTGACCGAGCCTGTGGCCCGTTGTTTCCCTGAATTTCTTCTACCATCGCTACAGCCCGCCTTTTCGGGCTAAGGGAGTAGGCACAGGATTTGGGGGTTGGTGTCTAGTCTAATACAGAAGCGGGAAGAAAATGCTCACTTTCCAAAAATGTTCTATCCGGTGGACGTACGTACACATTGGGACCCAAGAGAGGTGGTCCCGGGCGTTAACAAAGCCCCGGGCCAGGGAGGGTGGGGACGCTGGAAAGAAACCCCGCTGCTAGAGCGAGGGGAAGGGCTGAGGAGGAAAAGAGGGGGAGCAGCCTGAGGGAAGGCGAGTAAAGCGGCCGGCAAGGGCGGGAGGAAGGGGCTGCGCGCAGACCGAGCGGGGGGAGAGGCTGGCGGGATCGAGGAGAGCCGCAGGCCGGAGGAGGAGGTGGAGGCGGCTGGCCGGCGGCACAGGAGAGCCGCGGGCAGGGGAACTTCAGAAGAGGCTGCCAAAAAGGACTCGAGCCGCAGCAGTGTGAGGCAGTGGACAGCGGGGGCAGCAACCGCCAGCCCTTGGCAGGTGATGCTTTGGCTGAGAGAGAAAGGGGGAAGGGAAGCAGGCAGGCCTCTGTTTGCGGGCCATGCCAATAAATGTGCTTCTCCTTGGCAGCCAGCAGAGGGGAAGAGGAGCCCGCGGGAAAGAAATGCAGGAGAGGTTGAGAATAAAGGCTGCTCCAGGTGTGACAGCTACCTCGGCGAGGTGGGAAGATGGAATTGACAAGGCAAATTTCATGGGTGAGTTGGTAGAGCAATAAATAAACCTGCAAGAGGTCATATTTGGTAAGCAAACGAAAAACGTTGAAAAACGCTTTGCCAAAATTGCACTGAACTGTAATAATTTGTATACTAAAGAGAAACACAAGAAAGCTAAGGAATAGGATTTTGCAGCTAATGCTTTAAAAAAACTGAAGGAAATATGACCCACCTACTTTGACCCAAGACTCTCAGGGAGCCTTTTCTGACGGTCTGCTCCATGCACAACATGTCCTATCCACAAAATAATGTTGAAGACATAATAAAAAGAAATACCTTATATTGTATAGCATATTAAAATGTGCAGAATGTTTTCACACATAGTATCTCATTTAATTCTCACAACATTTTTGAGGATTTTGTTTTTGTTTCACAGATGTAGAGATGATGGTTATAAAAGATATTTCCAACAAACCATTCAAGTGGCAGATTTCAGACCTGAGTTTTCTGACTCCCAGTTCAGGGCAGTTCCTGCTACATGACAGTGACTTTCCATATAGAAATCCATTTCTCCTCTTAACAGTTTTATAACCCATGGATTGAGATGACATACATTAAAAAAAAAAACAATGATTAGAAGGCAACATGAAAGCAAGACCATTATATAGAAGTTATACAGTGATGTGTGCCAAAATGAAGTAACAAAATGTGGTGGAGAGTATTTGTCAATAAATCAACAATCATTTTAATATATACATTATTTTTAGCAAAGTGCAAAAATAGGGGAGAGAAACAAAAAAAAACTTTACCCTTTTCCTAATCCTTGAGATACTATTGAAAGGAGGGAGAATTAAAAAATTTATGCAAGTTGTACATGAGAAAACAGTTCTAAATGGTGAAGTCCTTGCTAAATGAGCCAGAATATTAGCAGACTTTGTCAAGGAAGTGGAATGCAAGTTGAGCGCTGCTATCAGCGAAAAGGGGTTTCTCACTGCAAGCAACCTGTTTGTTGAAGAAAATACCTGAGCTCAAAATAAAGAGATGTGGAGGATAAGATACGGGGAGGAGCTTGCAATGAAATAATGAGTTAACGTTTCATCAAATAGTCAAACAAGGATTGCTAAACCATTTTAGATAGGAATAGGTACTAAGAAAGATTATCTTCAGAATTATGCATAGGATTGGCGATAGGGAGAAACTGGGTGCAAAGACGTAATGGTTTAAAAAGGTTGTAGTCCAGCTGTGAAACTGTAAGGGCCTATATGAGTGAGGTATTCTTGGAGACTTATGCTTTTGAGGAGCCAAGAAACAAGGAAATAAGAGTAGGGAATCATAAATTCAAAAGATAATCTCAAATTAATGATTTGTAATAATGATAAATTTTTACAAACATTTATTAAATTCTTTGGTGGGCATTCAATGAGCAATGAATGAATTAATGTGTGTTCAAGGTTCTAGAAATACTAACAGAAATAAAATAAATAAAATACTGAGACCAACGTGTAATAATTATGGCAATGTTTTAAGGACTCAGGTAATTACATATGTGAGATGCTACAGAACAGGGTGGAAGAAGGTAGTGATTTTCCTTGAGGTCCTTGGAGAAAGCATCACAAAAGTACTGGTTTTCAAAGGGTATCTTGAAGAAAGAGTAGAAATTTATTGGTCAGGTAAGAAAAGGATATTTCAGACCTGTGTGCAATGGAGGAGTAAGCATTACAAGATGAATCTGAAGAACTACAAATGGTTTGTCAGGGCTGCAGACCAACATGTGTGTAAAGTAAGGTTAAGGTCCAAGGTTGCAGAGATCTTATCAGGGAAAGTCCTGTGTGCCATTTCAGGCTTTAGACTTTTTACCCTAAAAGAATTCTTAGTAGGAGATAAGTGAATTTTCACTACATTTGTTGCATGTTTGCCAACTCTGTGGAAACAGTCACCTTTTAGAAGTTCTTATATTTTTTACTTCAAATGTTCTATTAAGCATTTAATATCTACTATCTTTGTAGAACTTCTATCTGTGCTAGTCTAATAAGACTGATGAAACAGTTCCCCATATGGACTCATCTGGGTACCTGTGGAAATGTAATCACTTCCCTTGTCAGGTAAGTTTCTTATTCCATCTCTCATCTGTAATGTAGCCTTATCTTTTAAGAGTCGGAATTATGAAGAAGTTCCTACTCTCATGTCTTAGTAGTGTTAGCTTCTTAGTTGGCGGTCTTCTTAGAGAAGGACTTGTTTTTTTATCCTCAGTAAGTTAAAATATAGAATATCATTCGTCCATTTAGAGTGTTAATTAAATCCGTCCTCACAACTCTTGGCCCTTGCTGTGTGTGCTTTCTGTCACATACTTCCTTTCTTCTCACAATTCCACAAAACTAATGAATAATCTTAGAATTACAAGCGAATGGAGAACAGAGAATCCAAAAAAGATTAAAGAAAATGAATAAGAAAGCCAAAGGAAAATAACAATTGCCCCCGGCAAAGGTTAATAGCAACTCAATAAAAATTACTTAGGAGAGAAAGTGTCTGAAGAAGTAAATGATATATATGAATCCCAAGAGGCAAATGATAGATACTTATAAGTGAGCAGTTGAGTGGCATGCTGAAATGTGTGAATGATTACAACTACCCAAAATAACATTAGAGGTGAATAATATAATCATGGAACCCAGTTTCTTAATGAACTAAAGCCTTAGAAATGAGTTCTACAGCTTGGAAAGTTAAATAAACTTGTTCATTCCTCTATCATTTCAATTTATGTGCTTTCTTCTCTATTTGCATCCATTAAACCTGCAGCGCTTTGTTTTGTTTTAATTCAGAGAATATTGAATTAGTGCTGAGCTATAGGCATTCTCTCATGCATCTGTTATTAGCAGGGACATGCATATGTAGAACAGCCAGCTACAGCCTTATAATTTAAGGTGTGTCCCTGGTGGAATCTCGGGGTCTTAGAGCTTGTTGGAAAGGCTGATTCTCTGCTGCACCAAGATCCCCCTGTGATTCATACACAGGGTAGAGTTGAAAAGTTGCTAGCTATTATCACTGCCCCTGAAGATAGTATGATTTTTTTCCCCGTTTCCTTCATTGACTTATGCTCTCCTTTAACTATGAGTATCTCAAATATTTGGTTTTCTGCTCATTTATTTGTTCATTCTTTCCCCCACTGACCATTCGTTAGCCACCATAAAATACC